GCCTGGGTGGCTCAATCGGTCAAGCATCCAACCCTTGATACGGGCTCAGGTCGTGATCTCCTGGTTTGTGAGATGGAGCCCCTTGTCCGGCTCTGTGCTGACAGTGTGGAGCCTGCTTGGGGTTCTCTCTCCCTCTCTCTCTGCCCCTTCCCCACACACTCTCTCTCTCAAAATAAATAAATAAAAACATTTTTAAAAATTGGGGCGCCTGGGTGGCTCAGTCAGTTAAGTGTCCAGTTTTGGCTCAGGTCATGATCTCACAGCTTGTGAGCTCAAGCCCCATGTCGGGCTCTGTGCTGACAGCTCGGAACCTGGAGCCTGCTTTGGATTTTGTGACTCCTTCTCTTTCTCTCTGCCCCTCCCCTGCTTGTGCTCTCTCTCTCTCTCTCTCTCTCAAAAATAAATAAACATTAAGAGAAAAAAAAAAAAAAGCTACCCAGAGCCTGGTGACGAGGCCATCTCGAAACTCTTATTGCAATGCCTGACCTAGGCCCTTTCGACCTTACAAAATGTTACTGTCTTCCTTAATATCCAAGTGAGGACACCGAGATCCAGAGCTGTGAAGAAATTTACCCCCAAGCTGAAGCTCCAGAGATGGAATTCAATCCTAGGTCTATCTGCTGGTCTATTTCCAAAGCTCATATGCTTTCAGAAAATGTTAATGTCTTACTGGAAGATCAAAATGGTATTTATAAAATTCTAACACTACAAAAGTTTGTGAAGAAATTGAATTTCTATTTAAAAAAATTTTTTTTAATGTTTATTTATTTTTGAGACAGAGAGAGACAGAGCATGAATTGGGGAGGGGCAGAGAGAGAGGGAGACACAGAATCTGAAACGGGCTCCAGGCTCTGAGCTGTCAGCACAGAGCCCGATGCGGGGCTCAAACTCACAGACCGCGAGATCACGACTTGAGCCGAAGTTGGACACTCAACCGATTGAGCCATCTAGGCGCCCCTGAATTTCTATTTTAAAAAAATACCACCAAGAAAAGCCCAGGCCTATATGGCTTCACTGATGAATTCTATAAAACATCTGAAAAAGAACTGATACCAGTTCTTCACAAAAAGTCCAAAAAACAGAAGAGGAACACTTCTGAATTCATCCTGTTACCAAAACCAGATAAAACATCACAAGAAAACCACAGGTGATATCTCTTTGAATATAGACACAAGACCTACAAAACGCTAGCTAATCAAAATCAGCAATGTATAAGGGGCACCTGGGTGGTTCAGTCAGTTAGGCATCTGACTCTTGATTTCAGGTCGGATCATGATCTTGCAGTTCATGAGTTCGAGCCTCACGTGAGGCTCTCTGCCATCAGCACGGAGCCTGCTTTGGATCCTCGGTCTCCCTCTCTCTCTGCCCCTCCCACGCACTCTCTCTCTCCCAAAAATAAATTTAAAAACATTAAAAAAATCAGCAACCTATAAAAAATTATACATTATGACAAAATTGATTTGTCCCAGGAGTGCAAGCTCAGAGTAGCACCCAAAAAACCAATTAATGTAATACAAGTATCAACAAAATAAAGGAAAAAAATACATCTCAATAGACACAGAAAAACATTCGGCAAAATCCAACACTCCTGCTTGATAAAACTACTCAACAAACTAGAAGGTGATGGGAATGTTCTCAACCTAATAGAGGACAACTACAAAAAAACCCCAGCTAACATCGTACTCAATGCTAAAAGACTGAAAGCCTTCCCCCCGTGATCAGGAACAAGACAAGGATGTCCACTCTCCCCACTTCTATTCAACATTATACTGAGGGTCTAGCAGGGCAATTAGGTAAGAAAATAAAATAAAAAGCATCCAGATTAGAAGGGAAAAAAGCAAAACTATCTCTACTTACAAATAACATAATATTGTATCTAGAAAGTCCTAAGGAATCCACTAAAAAAAACTATTAATAAATGAATTCAGCAAGTTTTCAGGGTATAAGATCAATATTAAAAAGTCATCTGTATTTTTATATATTTTCAATGAACAATCCAAAAATAAAATTAAGAAAGCAATTTCACTTATAACACTAAGAGGAAAAAATACTTAGGAATAAATTTTAAAAAGTAGTACAAAACATATACTTTGAAAACTACAAAGCATTGTTAAAAGAAACCAAAGAATATCTAAATGGAAAGATATCCCATGTTCATAGATCTACCAATTGAACATAATCCCTATCAAAATCCCAGTTGGCTTCTTAGCAGAAATTGACAAGCTGATCCTAAAATGCATGTGGAAATTTAAGGGACCCAGAATAGCCAAAACCATCTGGAAAAAGAACAAAGTTGGAGGGCTCACCCATCTTCATTTCAAAACTTACTACAAAGCCACGTCAGTCAAGGCAATGTGGTCTATAGTATAGACGTGCAGATCAATGGAACAGAACTGAGAATCTGGAAATACCACCTCACATTTACTAAGGTCAATTGATTTTCATCAAGGATGTCAAGATACTGAGTTGGGGAAAAAATATTCTTTGCAACAAATGATGCTGGGACAACTGGATATCCACATGCAAAAGAAATTGTTGTCATACATAAAAATTAACTCATAATAAATTATAGAACTAAATGTAAAAGTTAAAAATATAAAACTCCTGGGGTGCCTGGCTGGCTCAGCCAGTAGCGCACGCATCTCTTCATCTCAAGGTCATGAGTTCAAGCCCCACATTGGGTGTAGAACTTAGTTAAAAAAAAAAAAAAAAAAACTTGAGGCGCCTGGATGGCTCCGTCAGTTAAGCGTCCATCTTCGGTTCAGGTCATCATCTCACCGTTCCTGAGTTTGAGCCCCGCGTTGGACTCTGTGCTGACAGCTCTGAGCCTGGAGCCCACTTCAAATTCTGGGTCTCCCTCTCTCTCCGCCCCTCCACCACTTGCTCTCTCTGTCTTCCTCTTTTTCAAAAATAAATAAACATTTAAAAAGTATTTTTAAAATCTTAAAAAATGTAAAACTCAGGTGGGCAGGCCAAAAATAAAAATAAAAACAAATTTATAACTCTTAGATGAAAATATAGGAATAACTCTTCATGAGCTTGGGTTAGACAAAGCTTTTGTATACATGACACCAAAAGCACAAGCAACCAAAGAAAAATTAGATAAATTGGACCCCATCAAAATCTAAAACTTCTGGCTTCAAAGGACACCATCAAGGAGGTGACAAGATAACCCACAAGATGGAAGAAGCTATTTGCAAGTCACATATCTGATAAGGGACTTCTATCTAGAACAGATGAAGAACGCTTACAACTGAAAAACAAAAGACAACCTAATTAAAAACTGAGCAAAGGATACAAATAGACACTTCTCCAAAGAAGTTCTACAAATGGCCAATAAGTATGTGGCAAAATGCTCAACATCATTAGTCATCAGGGAAATGCAAATCAAAACCACAGGGAGATAACACTTCACACCCACTAAAATCAAAAAGAGAAAGTAAAAAATAAAAAACAAACAAACAAATAAACCAATTAAATAATGGGCAGGGGTGCCTGGGTAGCTCAGTCAGTGGAGTGTCTGACTTCAGCTTAGGTCATAATCTCGTGGGTTGTGGGTTTGAGCCCTACGTTGGGCTCACTGCTGTCAGCTCAGAGCTTGCTTGGGATTCTCTCTCTCTCTCTCTCTCTCTCTCTCTCTCTCTCTCTCTCTCTGCCTCTCCCCTGCACATGCTTTCTCTCTCAAAAATAATAATAATAATAATAATAAACATTAAAAAGAACTTTTTTTTTTTTTTAAATGGGCAGTGGGGGCACCTGGCTGGCTAAGTCAGTAGAGCATGCAATTCTTGATCTAGGGGTTGTAAGTTCAAGCCCCACATTGGGTGTAGAGAGTACTTAGAAATGAAATCATAGGGGTGCCTGGGCAGCTCAGTCAGTTGAGTGTTCAACTCTTGAGATTTCCATTCGGGTCATGATCCCAGGGCCGTGGGATCAAGCCCCACATCGGGTTCTGCACTAAGCAAGGAGCCTGCTTAGGATCCTCTTTCTCCCTCTGCCTCTGCCCTTTCCCCCACCACTGCACTTGCGCGCTCTCTCTCTCTCTCTAAATAAACAAAATAATAACAATAATTAATTAAATTACATTTGGGCAGAGGACCTGAATAGACATTTTTTTCAAAGAAGACAAGCAGATGGCCAACAGACACATGAAAAGATGCTTAACATCATAAATCATCAGGTAAATGCAAATAAAAACCACAATGAGATACCACTCATACCTCTCAGAAAGGCTAGAATCAAAAAGATACATAGAGATCTTGCCATTAGCAACAATGTGGATGGATGTAGAAGGTACAATGCTAAGTGAAATAAGTCAGATAGAAAAGACAAATACCATACAATTTCATTTATATGTGGGATCTAAAAAAAAAAAAAACAAACCAAAAGAAAAGAAAAGAGAAGAGAAGAGAAGAGAAGAGAAGAGAAGAGAAGAGAAGAAAAGAAAAGAAAAGAAAAGAAAAGGAAAGAAAGGGGCGCCTGGGTGGCTCAGTTGGTTGAGCATCTGTCTTCGGCTCAGGTCATGATCTCGCAGTTTGACAAGTTCGAGCCCCGCATCAGACTCTGTGCTGACAGCTGAGAGCCTGGAGCCTGCTTCAGGTTGTGTGTCTCCCTCTCTTGCTCTCTGCCCCTCCCCCACTCATGCTGTCTCTCTCTACCTCAAAAATAAATAAAACATTAAAAAAATTTTTTTTAATAAAGAAAAGAGAAAAAAGAAAAGCAAAGCAAAGAAGAGAAGAGAAAAGAAAGGGACTCTTAAATACAGAAAACAAACTGGTGGTGGCCAGAAGGAAGGTGGGTGGAGACATGGGTGAAATAGATAAAGGGGATTCAGAGGTACAAACTTCCAGTAATAAAATAAAGAAGTCATGGAGATGAAAACACAGCATAGGCAATACAGTCAACAATATTGTAATAATGCATGGTGACAGATGGTGACTGCACTTAATTGTTGTAAGCACTGAGTAATGTATAGAATTGTTGAATCACTACGTTGTACACCTCACAGTAATATAACGCTGTTAATTATACTTAAATTTAAACAAATGAGGCAAAAAAAGAGAGAAATAACAAGTGTTGTTGAGGATGTGGAGAAACTGGAACACTCACACCCTGCTGGTAGGACAGCTGGTGTAGCCACTTTGAAAAACTGGTGTAGCCACTTTGAAAAACAGTCTGGAGGCTCCTCAAAAGTTAAATACAGAGTTACTGTATGACTCAGCAATTCTGCTCCCGGTACATAACCGAGAGAAATGTAAACGTATGTTCATGCAAAAACTTGTACACAAATGTTCGGAGCAGGATTACTCGTCAGAGCCAAAAAGTGGAAACAACCCAAGTGTCCATCAACTGATGAGCAGATAAGCGAAATGTGGTCTATTCCATACAATGGAATATTATCCAGCAATCAAAAGAATGAAGTACTGACACACACCACAACAAGGATGAACCTTGAAGACGGGGTGCCCACTAAAAGAAGTTCATCACAAAAGACCGTGCATAGTGTAAGTCCATTTCCACGAGAAATCCAGAATAGGCAAATTCACAGAGACACAGAGGAGCTTAGTGTTGCCTAGTAGGAGGTTTGGGGAAAACGGGATTGATGGCTAAAGGGGGCAAGGTTTCTTTTTAGGGTGATGAAAATGTGCTAACATCTATTGTAGTGAATGTTGCACAACTCTGTTAAAAACCATTGAATTGCAGGGGTGCCTGGGTGGCTCAGTCAGTTAAGCGTCTGACTTCGAGTCAGATCATGATCTCACCATCCTTGAGTTCAAGCCTTGCGTCAGGCTCTGTGCGGACAGCTCGGCCCGTGGAGCCGGTTGCAGATTCTGTGTCTCCCTCGCTCTCTGCCCTTCCCCCACTCACATTCGTGTGTGTGTCTCTCTCTCTTTTTTAAAAATATTTTTAAATTAAAAAAAATTTTTAATAAAAAATAAAGTATAACAAAATTTGTAGAGATAGTGCCACAAGGCAGAGCACAGGGAATCTAGTCAATGACACTGTAATAGTGTTGTTACGGTGACAGATGGTAGCTACACTTGTGAGTACAGCCTAACACAAACTCGTCAAATCGCTGCGTCGTACGAGTGGAACATTGTGTGTCACCTATACTCAATTAAAAAAAATATATATATGTCCATGCATGGGCAAAGCGTTTGAATATCAACTTACCAAGAAGCTATAAAGAGAGCAAAGAAGCACTTTATTTTTTTTTTAACGTTTTTATTTATTTTTGAGACAGAGAAGACCAAGAGCATAGACAAGACAGAGGTCAGAGAAATTTTATCTGGCTCAGGCTCCAGGCTCTGAGCTGTGTGACTTGACCAGAGGGCTCAACTCACAGACCCCATGAAGAATCATGACCTGGGGGAAACTGAGAAATCGGCCCTTAACCGACTGAGCCACCCAGGCGCCCCAAGAAGCACTTTAAAAGATACTCAACGTCATTATTTAAGGAAACTCGATCACAAAATGATATCACTACGTAGTTATTAGAATAGAAAACCAACAAAAACAAAATTAAAAACCCCGCCAAATAGAAAAAAAAATTTTTTTTATAGAAAGTTCCAAAATGCCCTCCAAGGTGGCTGCAGTGATTCACACGGGCCCCCAGTCAGCGGGGAGTGCTGGGGCCTCCACATTTCCCACTGCTCGGAGCTGGCACAAGCCTCACTGCTGGCCGCCACAGCTTCCTGGGCTTCTCCCTGCACAGAGCCTCCCAGCTCACAGAAACCTTCCACGCTGCACTTAGGTTCCCCAGCATCTTCCTTCTGGTGCCACCCTGGAAATTCCACTCAGTGACTCAGGTCTGCTCCTGTCTCTTCGGGTCCAGTCCTGCCTATGGGTCTCGGCAAAGTCCCTGAGAGCAGCACAGAGTGTCCTCGCTCCCACTGATCACTTTAGCCCATGGGGGAGATGGGCACCAAGGTCAAGAAGAGGAAAGAACAGGGGCGCCTGGGTGGCTTGGTCGGTTAAGCGTCCGACTCCGGCTCAGGTCATGATCTCACGGTCCGTGAGTTCGAGCCCTGCGTTGGGCTCTGTGCTGACAACGCAGAGCCTGGAGCCTGTTTCAGATTCTGTGTCTCCCTCTCTCTCTGCCCCTCCCCTGTTCATGCTCTGTCTCTCTCTGTCTCAAAAATAAATAAACGTTAAAAAAATTTAAAAAAAAAAAAAAAAGAAGAAGAAGAGGAAAGAACAGTGCCTTCAGTAGGGAGAGCCCAGAGAACCTTCCAAGAAAAGACCAAGGGGTTCTGCTCCACTGTCCCAGCGCCCCTTACTCACTCACCTCAGCCTCAGCCAGACTGATCTGCCTCTCCAGATCCTCAGGCATCATTTTCCCTCTGGAAAAGAAAACTGAGTGGGTAAAGAAGTATTGGGTTTTCTCAGCTAGGAGGCAGACCTGTTGAGAACAGGGTAATGTGGGGTTCACTATGCAGAGGCCACAATGTTGATCTTTCCCTAAGGAGAGTGAGAGGATCTCAGGGGACAGGGCTAGAGACACTGGTAGACAGAAGTGGCAATTCTGTAGGAACAGCGGGGAGAAAAGCCCACTTGGGGCATGGGCCTGAGCCCAGAACTTCTGGCAGCAGCAAGGTACACTGTGCCACGCTGGGTCTGAGCTATGTGAACGGAAGGACCTTCACCTCTCATCTGTCTTGACTATCCAGACACTGTCGGTGCCAAGTCCCAGAAAAGCAGCTCCCTTCTTAATGGAGTAATGACACTGTGGAGAAATGCAGAGGGCGGATTAGGCTGGGGGCAAGAGGGCAGGGAGGATGGGGAAGGGAGAGACTGGAAGGGAGAGACTGGGGATGAGACCCCGTAGACCGGGGCTTCTCAAACATTCCTGTGCCCACAGATCACCAGGGTGTCTGGTTCCAATGCAGATTCAGATTCAGTATGTCTGGGCTGGGGCCTGAGATCCGGCATTTCGGACAAGCTCCCAGGTGATCCTGATTCTGCTGGTCCACAGACCACACTCTGAGTAGAAAGGGTGTGGACTATGTCCGCTGCACTCACTGTCCCTTCGCTACCTTCAGACAGAAGGCAAGGTGAACGGAAGCCTTTACTCAGCCCCTTGATTGGAAGGGAGCACCTCTGCCTGGGGGCAGGCTGGCCCCAGAAGAGATGGGTCTGGGCAGGCTGACTCAGCTGGCTGAAGATTAGAATCAGGAGGCCCAGGATAGGTCTGAACCTCTTCCCACCTCCTTTGATGTGAAGAGCGCCAGGGGTGGCAGTCCCCGGAGGCCCCTCTGCTTGCAATCCGGGTAGCGCTGATAGCGGGCCAGGTTCATGGCATACATGTTGGAGATGGAGCCACCTGTCACGGGGAGAGTGGCAAGAGGGAGGAGCAATGGGTCAAAACTGGAGCTTTCTGCCCCTGACCTCTCCACCCAGGAGAACTGATCAAAGAAGCACGAGACACTGGCTCCCAGGGCTCTGCAAATGGCCTGCTGACAACACAGAACAGCCCCAGGATCCGCAGATCCCCCTGACTACTCCCCTCCACGTCCTGGGCTGACCCGGGACGGTGCCTCCCCTCCCCAGAGCAGGCACTGAAGTGCTGATCCCATGGACTGTTTGGCAAACATGAGGATACAGAGGACTGGGCAGCTTCTCTCTGGTTTGGCCCAAGCCCAGCTGGAGAGGAAACAAGGAGGAGTCACCCCTCCCTGCACAGAGCATGAGAATAGTGGGAGAGGAGGAACCCTCAAAAAGGCCAGAGAGAGGCTTCCTCCTTCTCACATACCAGGGCAGAAGACCCCATCCCCAGAGCTCCAGCCCACCAGGGCCCGGAGTTTCTTCAGCACCTCTTCTTCCATGAGTACGAACACCGGGGCAATTTCATAAGTGTACCTGCCAGGAGAGGGAGGGATGAGAAGGGAAAAGAGAGGGAGGGCTGGCCAGGTCAGACTCTCAGAGGAGTAGAAAAAGGAGGTGGAGACACTGAGTGAGGAAAGGTCCAAAGGGAGGAATGAGCTGGTGACAAAGAGCCAGAGAAGCAAGAATGAGGAAAAACTGGGGTCAGGAGGCATGCGAAAGCTGGGAGAAAGGGAGCCCAAAGGGTACAAGGAGAAAAACTGCCAGTAGAGATGCCAGAAAACAGGGGGCAGGGGGTGGGGAGCAAAACCATTCTCCTCCTTCCCCCAGGGCTATGTCTCCCCGAAACCCAATCCTTTGGAGGGTGGGGGAAGCGGCCTTGGAAAGACTCACTGGCTGGTGTTGAGGCTCTCAGTGATAACGCGCCCGGCCAGAGAGTGGGGATCCAACCCTGAGAAGAGCTGGTTGAAGAAGTGCGGGTGACCTGGACAAGGGGGGCGGGGAGCTCAGAGTGGAGTTGCTGGGGCGAACTCCGGCCACTCCTCCCGCCACGACCCAGGACCCACAGGTCTTCACGCTATAGCGGATCACCGCCCGGCACCGCGCCAGGATCTGCTCTGGTGCCTCGCCCTGGCTGCGCAACTCCAGATCCAGAAGCCGCTTCAGCTCTTCTGGCTCCTTCCACTCGCAGACCTAGCAAGAGAAGCAGGGGATTCTGGGGGCCCGTGGACACTCCACCGACTGGCTGCCCGAGCCACATCTCAACTTGCACTGAAAACGAGTTAGAAATATTTCCAAGGCAACTCATGAACCAGGGTAAAGACGGTGTGACCCAGGATAGAATCCCTGAGGCACCCAGTGAGACAGTGATGAATTCTGGGGAGAAGCCTGGTGGGAGGAGGACAGTTCTGAGCCAGGTGTGGTGCGCGGCAGGAGGAGGGGGAAAGGACCCACCTTCTCCGAAGCACTGGTCCCTTTCCGAATGACCTCATCCACCACAATCCCAAACACATCCCGGAGCAAGGCTTCGGCAGCCATCGGGTCCCCATCAAGGGAGAAGAGTGGTTTCGAGTCAGCCATCAGGATAAAATCTGTGAGCAAAGCCGGAGTTATTCCCTACTCAGCCTGTGTACTCCACCTGGAACTGACCAGCGAGAATCCCAACCCCCATAACAGGCCTATGGCCCGAGTCCTGCAGCCCAGTCCCAGCCTTCACTGTACAGACAAGGGCAAGTGAGGGCCCAGGGAGAAAGTCAGTAGCAACAGCAGGAAAGTTAGTGGTGAGCAGGTGGAAACTCGTGGCCACTGCCCACGCAAGGCAAAGATGAGAGGCGTACCTTTCCACTCAGGTCTCCGTTCAAGTGAGCCAGAGGCAGGGCACACAACTAACTTTGAGAGTGTTAGGACCAGGACAGCAGAGGGGGTGACATATAGGCAGCAGTCACATGACCATGAGATCACTCTCATGACCCTTGCCCCTAAGAGAACTTACAGATTTGGGACAGGGACAGCGGGTTAAGTCCCTGAATAATCATTAGCTAACATGAAGAAGGGGGAGATGAGATGAAAGGCAAAAACATTAACATCAGGGTTAAGAGAACAGCCAGCAGGACTAGAGAATGAGAGGGCTGAAGTGGGACCTGGCTGCGACCACCACGACCACAGGGAGGACGTGGGGAATGTTCAGCAGGGAGATGAGGGCAGCCGGGGCAGGAAACCGCCGCAGGTGACCCTGGAGACCGAGGGGGAGGGAGCCTGAGAGAGAGAGACAGGTGGAGGTGAAATGGTTTATCTTTTTGCATCCCAACCCCCAGAGGCTTTTCAGACCCATCCTGATTTCCAAAGTCCTCTCCTAGAGCGGGAAGAAAAAGGGGTTATGTTGAGGAAGCATTTTGTTAAACAAGTGTCATCCTGTGCCCCGCAGGCTGAGAGTGCTCAATACACAGAAAGCAGTTGTTTGAAGTGAGCACCAACTGTGTTCACGACAGGGTGCTGGGGACTGAGAAAGTCCCCCTGTCTGCTGGGAGGACACAGATGCACCTGCAACAGTCACAGCCCAGGGCAGGCTGGATGCGGCCCCCAAGGGCTACTGAGGAAAAGAGGAGATGGGTGGAGGCTGAAGGCTGGGGAAGATGTGTAGTGGGACTGGGGCTGAATCTTGAAAGTGGGCAGGAGAAATGGGATTGGCGAAAGTGGGGGGTGGGGGTGGGGAGAGGCATTCGGGGACAGGGGGCTGCCATGAGCTAACATGGGAAAAGAATATGGAAGGTCAGTGAAGGCGCCAGGCTGGCTGGAGGGAGGTCTGCAAAGATGATACGGGAGCAAAGGCAGGGTGGGCAGGGCTGCATGATGATGGGGAGGCTTGAGTGCCACCTAGGCCCAAGGATCTGGATTTTATCCTGCAGAAAACAGGAGGCCATTGAAAGACTCTGTGGCATGGAATGATGTGATGAAAGTGACGCTCAGAAGACCAGTATATGGCACAGGGTTGCAGAATTAACAGGGCGTTGCTGTAAACCAGGCAAGAAGTGATCCACATTTGAATAAGGGTGGCGTGGGTAGGAAAGGATAGAGGAATGAGGAGGTCAGCCCAAAGTGCTGATGAACTGCTAGAACAGAAAGCAGATTCAAGAGTCAGGGTACAGCTAAAGGCTTGTGATGGGCTCCATTCCCCATGGGAGAGAACGTTCGGAGAGATGGTCAAGGAGAGAGGGGAAATCCAAGGCTTAGGAACCCTCGCCCCAAATGAGGGGGCAAGAGGATCCAGGAAACATGAAGAGGAACCTTCCTCAAAGTGGGCTGCTCTGATATAATCTGTCAACAGCTGCTGGAACCCTGCCCTAGTTGAAAACACAGGTTCAAGGGACCGTAGTGGTCCCACCCTTAAACTTTCCCTCAGCAGACTGGGTTTGGGGAAAATAGGAGAGCTGACCCAGGCCTTGCGAATGAAAGAGTCAATCCTTCATCAATGTCACTTTGGCTCTCCTGACAGGTGGCAGCTGTGGGGTGTTTGGGTGGAGAGACTTGAGGGAGAGAAGCAGAGAAAGACAGCACTTACTACATGCCACACTCTGTACTTAATATGTATTATCATCATCTTTGCAACTGTTTAGGGTAAGTTTATTACCCACATTTAAATTTTTTTTAATTTTATTTTTGAGAGGGGGGTAGGGACAGAGAGAGAGAAGGAGACACAGAATCTGAAGCAGGCTTCAGGCTCTGAGCTGTCAACACAGAGCCTGACACAGGGCTCGAACCCACAAGCAGTGAGATCATGGCCTGAGCCAAAATCAGACCCTTGACCAAATGAGACACCCAGGTGCCCCTATTACCAACATTTAAAGGTGAGGAAGAGGTACCTCTAAGATTCCAGAGGTACTATGTATATCACTTGTTGAGATCACGCAGCCGGCATGTGGCCAAGCTGGGTCTGAACCCACGTGTGTCAGGCTCTGAGGCCCCTGCTCCTAACCATTATGCTCGATTGCCTCTCACACGGCTCTCTCGGGCACTGAGTTTGCTGTGGTGCAAAGACCACTGGGCCAGAAGTGAGAATGCTTCAGGGCCTCAGTTTCTGTAAAATAAGGGGTTTTCAAGAGAGAACCCCCAAGGCATCTACTGGTGTTCACAGGAGCTCAGTGTGGGTAGAAAACAGGTTGCCAGGTTTGTAAGGAGGGAACAGCTGGTGAGCGACGAGAGACCCCTGCCAGGAGGGAGGCTTTTCCCAAAGCTCGGAAGAGAGGGTCTACAGAGAAGACTGTGTGTGGCCACCTTCCCAGCACCTGCTTTACCCATTCCTCCTCAGTCATGGCTCAGAAATGAAAACTGGAGGTGAGGGCTCTAGCACTCCCAGTTTCCTCCAGGGATAAATAGGGAGATGAGACATCACTACCCTTGTTCCCCATACGCAATCCTGCCCTGGGAACCTTAGAAAGGGAAGGGCCCCTGCCTGCAAAGAGTTTTTCTTTTTAAAAGGAAGAAGGACAAAAGCAAAGAAACATGAATGGAGTTAGGAGTAGGGCCTTAAGCCCCTAGCTGAGAAGATGGCGGTAGGAACAAGTAGCGTTTGTTAAAAAATTCACAAGTTTCTTCCAATTTCATGGGATCTCTAGTCCATCGACTCCTCTAACAGCATCAACTCCCACACCTGTATTCCTTTCACTTTTGCAACCCAGATTGTATGTTCTGTCGTTTCAACCACTCTTTGTGCAAAATCCTCAACTCCCCGGCCCTTTGGTGCTTCCACCAAATCCACCCGGTGAAACCCCAATCCAATTGGCCAGTCCTCCTCTTACCAAATCCACCAGGACTACTGGATTCTGCTAGTAAAAGCCACCCAACCATTCAAATCGACATCGCTACAAATTCATGGTCTCCGTGCTCATTCCAATTAAACACAGCAGGTTAAACACCTACGTTTACCACTCTTCCTTCCTGAAACTGCTAAAATTGCATCAGTGAAATTTTAAAGCTGGGAGAATAAAGCAAATGAGAAGAGAGACAAGAGGTGAGAGATGTCATTAATCATAGATGACAGAAAGCAGATGAGAAGTGGTAACTGGTTTAGCAAATGGCAGAAAGTCAAACCAGTGTGTCTGCAGAAGGCCATGCCAATGGGAAACGAGCTGGTTCTTGGGGCAGAAGCCCAGAAGGGCTCAGGAATTAAAAACACCAGCCATCTTGGAAGGCAGGAAGGAGTTGTGTAAGTTTGTGTAACGAACAGTTAAACCCGCACTCTCCTCCCCCAACCTGTTCAGCCGGGAAACTCTCCTTCTTTCCCCCGACTTCCAAAGAAAGCAAGAGATTTGTTTTCTAGAGAAAATGAAACAGGTAGGGTGGGACTTAGGGAGGCCAGGGAAGCACAGCAGGTGAGTATGAGGCATTGCACTGAGTGGAGGAGGGTGAGAAGGAAGTGACTATCACATCAGCTCCTTTCTTCTAACCACCATTCAGAACCAGTGGCCAGGGGTGAGCCTTCTAGGGCCAGGAGACTAGAGGATTCCTCTCCAGAGAAACTGACCTTGATAGCCCCAGAGAAAAGATCTCCTGACGCTCTTATCTCAGTCTTCACCTGATCACCCGGTCAGTGGTGCCCACAAGTCAATATGGCCTACCCACACACTTGGGCCTTCTAATACGCCTGAGTGCCTCCCTCTTCGATGGGAGCAGCCAGCCAGCCAGAGTTACCAGACCCTTGAGAAAAGCCCCTAACCTGAACCACAGATGTAAAAAGACAAACTGAAAAAAGGCATTTGGTGGAAGAAGAGAAATGCAGGGAGAAGAAAGCCTCAAAATTTCAAGAAGATATTGCATTCATTAAAAAAATAGGTCGCCCTCAAAAAGGAATACTCAGAGAACATGAAGAAGCTCTAGGATTTTAAAAATATGACAACCGAAATGAAAAATTAGAAATAAAAGGAAGCAAAGAAAATCACACAGAAAGATAAAAATATAAAGAGATGGATAAAGAAAAGAACTTTAGATCAATCCAGAAGGCCCAATAGTCGAGTAATAAAAGTTTCAGAAATAGATGGGGGGAGAAAAGGAGGAAGGAAATCAAAGACATCTGTAAAGAACAGAAAGATAGATTAAATTTTTTTTTTTACATTTATTTATTTTTGAGAAAGAAAGTGAGACAAAGCATGAGCAGGGGAGGGATAGAGGACAGAAGGAGACACAGAAGCTGAAGCAGGCTCCAGGCTCTGAGCAAGTGGTCAGCACAGAGCCTGATGCGGGGCACGAACCCACGAACTGTGAGATCATGACCTGAGTTGAAGTCAGATGCTCAACCGACTGAGCCACCCAGGCGCCCCAGAACAGAAAGACAGATTAAAAGAATCCACTGAATGACCAAAACAAAGACAGATTATAATATTATTTTAGAACAATGGGGGATCTGAAGACTTCCAGAGATAAAACAAAACAAACAAATACACCAAAACCAGGTCATAGACAAAAGACAGGAGAATCAGACCAAATCAAATACCTCCAACACAGGAGAGAGGTGAAGGGAATCCCAGGGACTGTAATGAAGGCAGTAACCATATTCAGAGGATAAAAGCACTCAGTTTTGTGTTATCTGCCCTCTGGATACCTCCCAC